TCTCATCACATAAGAAAGTATTAGTTTTGGTCTACAGACGGACATACATACATACAGACAGACAGACAGACAGACAGACAGACACACAGACAGACGGACTCGCCGGACCATGTTTTTCGGGTTCAGGGGACCTCAAAACGTAAAGATTTTATAAAATTATCAAATGTCAATTTTCGACCAAAACTAATACTTTCTCATGTGATGAGAATGTAATAAAAATTAGTTTTTTAGAAATAACTCGAAAAGTTTAGGGTTTAGCAAAAATTTGTCTACAGCAAAGTTGTAGATGATGCAAAACCGAGAAAAAAAGTCTCTGGTAGCAAAATTGCATATGCAATAATGTCGGAGATAATGGAGTCGGAATATTGAATTTTTTTCAAAAAAGCGCACAAAAAATATAAATAGAGAGTGGTTTTTCCGAAAATTACGACTTTTTTGTGTACAATTATGTTTTTCGTGTATTTTAGGGTGAAAATATGTCAAAATCAGTTAACTGACTTTTATTCCTTTCAAAAAATTCGATTTTCAGTGTTATTTTAAGATTTTTTTAGCTTTTTTGACCATTTAAGAGACTATAACTTCGAAAATTGAGTTTTCATGAAAAAATGTTGTAAAGAAAAGTTGTTTGTATTTTCCTAATCTAAAATAATATAAAGTTAAAAATTCTGAAATTTGAAAAAATTGAGTTTTCAAAATTTTGAAACTACCGTAGTTTTTGTAGTTTTCAACGAAAATGGCTGGTTAACGAGCTTAACCTTCATTTTTACACCAACTTTAAGTGTTTCAAATTTGAAAACGATCAGATAAGATTTTTAAAAGTTATTGTGTCAACAACATTTTGGTCTACAGACGGACATACATACATACAGACAGACAGACAGACACACAGACAGACGGACTCGCCGGACCATGTTTTTCGGGTTCAGGGGACCTTAAAACGTAAAGATTTCATAAAATTATTAAAAGTCAATTTTCGACCAAAACTAATACTTTCTCATGTGATGAGAATGTAATATATATATACGGTGGTTTTTTTGGAAATTACTAGTTTTTTGTTAATTTGAGTGTTTTTTGAGTACAATGGGGTGAGAATATGTGGAAATTAATGTAATAATTTTTTTTCTTTGAGAAATTTTGATTTTTAGCGTTATTTTCGGATTTTTGAGTATTTTTTTACTATTTAAGGGCCTATAACTCCGAAATTTGACTTTCTATGAAAAAATGTTGTAAGGAAAAGTTGTTCGTATTTTTCCAATCTAAAGTAATATAAAGTTAAAAATATTAAAATTTGAAAAAATTGAGTTTTCAAAATTTTGAAAGTACTGTAGTTTGTGTAGTTTTCGACGAAACTGGCTGGCTAACGAACTCGATCTGTATTTTAACAGTAACTTTGTACTTGCAAAGTTGCAAGTTGATACAATAAGTTTTTCAAAAGTTATGGTGGCGACACCATTGTGTCTACAGACAGACACGAAGACAGACATACAGACAGACACTTTTTTAGACCATGATTTTCAGACTCAGGGGACCCCAAAACGTCGAGATTTCATGAAAGTAGCGAAAGTCAATTTTCGACCAAAACTAATACTTTCTCATGTGATGAGAATGTAATAAAAAATTAGTTTTTTGAAAATAAGTCGAAAAGTTTTAGGTTTAGTGAAAAGTTGTCAACAGCAAAGTTGTAGCTGATGGTAAGACGAGAAAAAAAGTCTGTGGTAGCAAGCTCCCATAGGCAATAGTTTTGGAGATAATTGAGTCGGAATATGGAATTTTTGTTAAAAAAATAATAAAAAATATAGTAGTTTTTGTTTGTTTGACCGTATTATATATTTTGTAGGATAATGAAAAGGCCTAGATACGGTTATTTTATATGATGTTTATTTTATAATCCCGACTAGTTTCGAACCATATGGTTCCTCATCAGGGGATGAACAATTTTACAGAAAATTATCCAAATATTGGACACATCATAAAAAGATTTCAAAAAGGATTAAAATATCTGAAAAAAATAATTAAAATTGTTTTAATTTTAATTTAAAAAGATTTTATGAGGTTATGTTTTAATTTGTGAAAAAAATGAAAAAGTTTCTTACCCTTTAGAAGAACATTACAAGTATAAAAAAGGAAAAAAATTTTTTTATTGTAAAAAAAAAATTTTTTTAAAAAACATTTTATATTAAACAATTTAATTAATTTTATAAATTTTGTAAAAACACATTTTTTGCAAAAAATGTGCTTCTATGAACAGAGAGTTATGACAGAGAGGTTGGGTTGTGTATTAGGGTCCAGGTATGATAGGTAAAGTAGATTTCTATGTTATTAAACTTTTTAAATTATGTTTTAAAATAAGTAATTAAATTATAGTATATTTTATCTAGATTGTCAATATCTGTTCTATAATTAATACTATTAGTATTATTTTTTATATAGAACATTTCCAAATTTTTTCTTTTCCAGTTATTTATTTCAATTTGTAAAATATTTGTATTGTCAAAATCAAAAGAATGTTTATTATCAAAAGTATGATTAGTTAAAGCATTAATATTTTGGTTGTGAGTGACATATCGTTTATGTTCTTTTATTCTAGTTTTAAGATGTCTTAAGGTTTCTCCGATATAACAACTATCACAATCTTTGCATTGAATTTTATATACACATCCAACTCTCTGAAATTTCTCTGTTGGATCTTTAAATTTTGGAAAAATACAGTTTTTTAAATTATTAGAGTTAGTGAAAACTAATTTAAATTTATGTTGTTTAAATATATTAAAAAGTATTTCATCAAAATTTTGAATATAAGGTATACTTATAATTTTTTCAATTGGAAAATTGTTGTTATTTATTTTTCTATGTAAGTTATTGGTAAGAGCATTATACCTCTGTGAAATCTTTCTATTTAACAGATCTATTGGGTATCCATTAAGTAGCAATGTTTTTTTAACAATGTTAAGATTTTCAAGATGAAATTGTTGATCTGACAATTTAATAGCCCTATCAACTAGAGTGTATATAATACCTATTTTATAACTTAGAGGGTGGTGTGAATAGAAATTCATATATCTGCCCGTCCATATAGATTTACGAAACTAATTTGTTTCAATAAAATTATTACTGTCAATTGAAAGGGAAAGATCTAGAAAGTTAATTTTATTATTGTTAGATAACTCTAAAGTAAATTTTAAATGTTTATCGATAGAATTGAATCTACATAATATATCGTCCACCTTATTTGAAGGTGCACAAATTAATATATCATCAATATATCGAAAATAAAAAATAATTTTATATTTGATTTTGTTTAAAATTTTATCCTCAATACCCTCCATGACAATATTAGCCGCACTTGAGGATATTGGAGAACCCATTGGTAAACCAAATATTTGTTTATAAAATTCTCCTTGGAATTGACAGTATGCCGAATTTAAACATAAATTTAAAGCTTCAAGAAAATCATCCTGCGAGAAGTTTGTGTGTTTTTCAATTTCTGACCATTTGCTTTTAATAGTGTTGTTGATTAGTGTCCAAGATATGTTTGTATACATGGAAACAACATCAAGTGAAAAGATTGTAAAATTTGGAGGAATAAAAATATTATTAAGTTTATTTTTAAAATCCCAGCTGTCTTTAATATAGTGATTATTTTCGGTATTTAGGGATTTTTTTAAAATGTTAGCTATAAGTTTTGATAGATTATATATTGGATTACCTATGAAAGATGTAATTGGTCTCATAGGGATGTTATTTTTATGTAATTTTGGTAATCCATAAAATTTTGGAGCAACACCATTTGTGCAATTGAGAAATTTATATGTGTTTTTTTCAAAGTATTTTTTATTTAAAAAAGATTTTAAAAGATTTCGTAAACAATTTTGAATGGAGATTGTAGGATCAGAATTCAATTTTTTATAAGTAGTAGTATCAGTTAAAAGATTAAGTGTTTTCGAAATATAATCATTTTTTGTTATAATAACAGTTTTGTAACATTTATCGGCAGTGGTTACAACAATATTTTTATTAGAGTTTAAAAATTTTTTTGTTTCGTTAATTTTATTAATTAGATTTACTTGAGTACAATTAAAAGTAGTTTTATTAAGTATTAAATTTTGCAAATTTTGTAAATCTATATGGACGGGCAGATATATGAATTTCTATTCACACCACCCTCTAAGTTATAAAATAGGTATTATATACACTCTAGTTGATAGGGCTATTAAATTGTCAGATCAACAATTTCATCTTGAAAATCTTAACATTGTTAAAAAAACATTGCTACTTAATGGATACCCAATAGATCTGTTAAATAGAAAGATTTCACAGAGGTATAATGCTCTTACCAATAACTTACATAGAAAAATAAATAACAACAATTTTCCAATTGAAAAAATTATAAGTATACCTTATATTCAAAATTTTGATGAAATACTTTTTAATATATTTAAACAACATAAATTTAAATTAGTTTTCACTAACTCTAATAATTTAAAAAACTGTATTTTTCCAAAATTTAAAGATCCAACAGAGAAATTTCAGAGAGTTGGATGTGTATATAAAATTCAATGCAAAGATTGTGATAGTTGTTATATCGGAGAAACCTTAAGACATCTTAAAACTAGAATAAAAGAACATAAACGATATGTCACTCACAACCAAAATATTAATGCTTTAACTAATCATACTTTTGATAATAAACATTCTTTTGATTTTGACAATACAAATATTTTACAAATTGAAATAAATAACTGGAAAAGAAAAAATTTGGAAATGTTCTATATAAAAAATAATACTAATAGTATTAATTATAGAACAGATATTGACAATCTAGATAAAATATACTATAATTTAATTACTTATTTTAAAACATAATTTAAAAAGTTTAATAACATAGAAATCTACTTTACCTATCATACCTGGACCCTAATACACAACCCAACCTCTCTGTCATAACTCTCTGTTCATAGAAGCACATTTTTTGCAAAAAATGTGTTTCTACAAAATTTATAAAATTAATTAAATTGTTTTATATAAAATGTTTTTTTTAAAAAATTTTTTTTTTACAATAAAAAATTTTTTTTCCTTTTCTATACTTGTAATGTTCTTCTAAAGGGTAAGAAACTTTTTCATTTTTTTCACAAATTAAAACATAACCTCATAAAATCTTTTTAAATTAAAATTAAAACAATTTTAATTATTTTTTTCAGATATTTTAATCCTTTTTGAAATCTTTTTATGATGTGTCCAATATTTGGATAATTTTCTGTAAAATTGTTCATCCCCTGATGAGGAACCATATGGTTCGAAACTAGTCGGGATTATAAAATAAACATCATATAAAATAACCGTATCTAGGCCTTTTCATTATCCTACAAAAAAATAAAAAATATATATATACGGTGGTTTTTTTGGAAATTACTAATTTTTTGTTAATGTGAGTGTTTTTTGAGTACAATGGGGTGAGAATATGTGGAAATTAATGTAATAAATTTTTTTCCTTTGAGAAATTTTGATTTTTAGCGTTATTTTCGGATTTTTGAGTATTTTTTTACTATTTAAGGGCCTATAACTCCGAAATTTGACTTTCTATGAAAAAATCTTGTAAAGAAAAGTTGTTCGTATTTTTCCAATCTAAAGTAATATAAAGTTGAAAATATTGAAATTTGAAAAAATTGAGTTTTCAAAATTTTGAAAGTACTGTAGTTTGTGTAGTTTTCGACGAAACTGGCTGGCTAACGAACTCGATCTGTATTTTAACAGTAACTTTGTACTTGCAAAGTTGCAAGTTGATACAATAAGTTTTTCAAAAGTTATGGTGGCGACACCATTGTGTCTACAGACAGACACGAAGACAGACATACAGACAGACTCTTTTTTTAGACCATGATTTTCGGACTCAGGGGACCCCAAAACGTCGAGATTTCATGAAATTAGCGAAAGTCAATTTTCGACCAAAACTAATACTTTCTCATGTGATGAGATTGTAAAAATGTCATTAGGTACCTGTGAGAGTTGCAATAAATTAATTTGTAAAAATACTTCATGTTTTATACAGTATATTGAACAGCTGTTTAAACATCTGGCAACATTATTGCACACAATTTTCTACTCAAAACTAAATGTAAACAAGTCATACCAAACATTTGCAACGCGACTAAAAAAATACGGTGTTGCCAGACATTTCAAAGTACCAAGCAAGTCAAATTACAAAATAATTGTTTCTGTTAGAAGAATTATTAGAAGAATTATGTTATTGAATTATTCTTCCTTCTTCGTCAAAACATTGACACCGAGATTTATTGACAGTCATGATATAAACCGAGGTATAAGCTTTAGGGGCCGTCCATAAATCACGAGGACAATTTTTTACCAATTTTTGACCCCTCCCCATCCAATATGTAACACAAATTTTTACTTTATGCAATTGACCTTAATTTTGTCTCTCGGTGGTTTTTAGGGACGCTGATTACGAATTTTATGTAAGTTTTGATAAATTTAAAATGGTGGATCCAATATGGCAAAATTTTCTTTTTAATTTATGCAATTGACCTTAATTTTGTTACTCGGGAGTTCTAATGCCAGTCAGGTAGCTATTAATGTCCTAGGAGCGCTCACTGACAATTGACTTCTTTTTAGCACTTGAGTCGACTCACGACCAGCGAGCGTGGATAGAAAATTTTTTTAATTTCTCTTCCCCACATTATATTAACCACAAACATCGTATTCGTAATCAGCGACCCTAAAAACCGCCGAGTCACAAAATTAAGATCAATTGCATAAAGTAAAATTTTTGTTCCATATTGGATCCGCTATTTTAATTTATTGGAAACTAAAATCGAATTCGTAATCAGCGACCACGAAAACCCCCGAGTGACAAAATTAAGGTCAATTGCATAAATTTTTAAAATTTTTGTCCTACATATTGGATCCGTCATTTTGAATTTCTTAAAAATAACATTGAATTCGTAATCAGCGACCCCAAAAGCCTTCGAGTAAGAAAACTTAGGCGAATTTAATTACATTTTGGTACTTTGAAAAATAGTGCCCAACCCTTTCAAAGATTCCTTCATATTTGACGCCATATTTGGTCCACCATCTTTAAATTTTGAATTCAAATTTATGTTTCATAAAAATATACAATTTTTGTACCCCTATGGTTGAGAATTTAATATTATTCACCCACGTTTAACCCCTTAGCAGTGTAGTCAAAATAAAGTTTTCGTGCCACAAATGTGCTAAATTTTTTTTATTTATTTTAATACCTGATATCATTATATTTTATGTTTCTGGGGTCGCTGAATCCAAATATTTAATCAAAATTTAAAAATTCAAAATGGCGGGTTTAAAATGGCGATTGAAAAATTTCAAAGTTTACGGATTTTAAATTTTTTTGTTCGTTATTTTGGAGCCGACATTTTGAATTTCTTAATTCTGACCAAAGATTTGGATTCAGCGGCAACAAAAACTTTAGAATATTCATTGATATTCATATTTCATTTATTACAGAGATGTTCCTTTTAGCTGCCGCTATAGCGGTCCTACACATTGTGGCACGAATTATTTTTGCCTGTATAGACGTCATACACTGTGAATGGATTAAAGGGTAAAAAAATTATGAAACTTGAAAAAATGAAATTTCTTTTGTGTTTTTGAAATTAAAACAGCCATATTTAATTTTTGGGTTGAACGAAATTCTTCTTTTTACACCGGAATCGAAAAGAGCACACTCAATACCTATAAGAAACATACTTGCGTTGTATAAAATATGATCCGTATTATTATTAACATTATTATTATTATATTATATTATTATTCTTTATGTTTGCTGTTATTGTAATAATAATATTGCATAATATTGCATTTGTATAATTATAGAAATGCAATATTATAAATTATAGATAAAAAACCTAACTGGCCAGTTTACCCCAAGGGGTGGGTCAAACCGGACAGTTTGGAAAATTTTTTAAAGTTAACGCAGCAACTAAACAATTAAAAATGAAGTATAGGTGTCTCTGGGAAAATGTTGCACAATTAAATGATCTTTTAAACAGGACATCGAAAAATGAAATCGGTTGATTCATTTAGTCACAAGAGTAAAAAAACCGTTAGTATGGCCGGTTTGCCCCACTCTCCCCTATATTAACACCATAGACAAGGAAATGTCAGAAAAATTTTTTTTCCATGAAATGAAGAAAATTGAGACTTTTTTCGACTTTCTATTTATTTATTTAAGTAATAAACGGGACTGTGCCCTTTCGTACAAAGTACTCTTAATACTAATTTTATTGCACTAAGCAAAATTACTAAATATTATCAAAAATGAAACATAAGTAGCTGAACTTAAAATAGTGAACTACATATCTCTAAAAACAAGCTGACGCAAAAGTGTGTGAAATCTCATAGAGTTACGATCAAAAAAATCAATATCATTATAAACATCATTTGCTTCTCTACAAAGCCTGGTCATCAAAGAATGATTTCCATAATTCGTTCTATGAAATGGAACAGAGAATAAAGAAAAATACCTTAGTGGCACACGCTTAGTCTTAGTGGCACACGTAAACTAATTAGTGATATAAGTGACTGACAATTAAAGAATCCATTAAATAATTTATATAAAAATGATAAATCACTATATAGGAATCTTAAAGAAACCCTTGGTATATTGAGCACAGAACGGAAGCTGCAGTAATCATGAGCATGAAAATCAAATGGTATGTGAAGTTGACGCGTAATGAAACCAAGAAACCTATTCTGAATGCGTTCAAATCTTATAATATTATATGTGTAATATGGCACCCAAATGACTATAGCATACTCTACTATTGATCTGATCAATGAAAAATACAAAGTTTTTAACGCTGATAGATTATGAAAAGCAGATGCATTTCTCATTACAAATCCCAGAGATTTTTAAGATTTAGAGATAACTTCGGATATATGTTCATTATAATTGAGATCTTTACCAATCAAAACCCCCAAGTCTCGAACCTGAGTCACTCTATTTAATTCACTTGAACCCACAGTATAACTATATACAAATGTGATTTTCCTCGCAAATGAGATTACTACACTCTTATCTAAATTAAAGGTCAAATGATTTTTCTTACACCAAACTATAAGACTTTTTATAAGACTTTTTTTTATAAGACTTTTTACTTTAAAAAATTGCGACTTTTTGTATTTTCCTTCTGTTAAAGTAGGATTTAGAAATTTAATTTTAAAAGATTAATTTTTAAAACTTTAACTCACGTGTTCTTCGGACAAAAGAAATTGTAAAGGTAGTGGATTCCCCCTCAACTTAGTTATTGATTCAACTAAGAGGTTGAGAACCCTACTCTTGAGTAAAATGAGAAGATAGGAAAATTATTAGGATGTTTGAATTGAAACACAAAATTAAGATAATAACAATTAAATGTATATATTTTGCCCAAAGTCCCTATTACAGATAAATCTAATTTTGTGTGTAAGACGAATAAGTGTATCTGTGTGAATGGAGTATTAGTGTGTGTTGTGACATGTAAGATCTTTACTCACTACTCGGTGATTCTTCCTTGGTAATACGAATCCAATGAATGTGTCTTGTCTTTATACCCGCTTCACGATGTTCTTCCGTAAAATTCAGGAAATACCAAATCTAGGTTCACTAGATTGATATTTCGCTGGAAACTTTAATATTCTTTTTAAGTTGCACAAAGTTTAAGATCTGAACCTCGTAAATAAAGGTTGTCTTCTAATATATATTTGAAATTAATATTATTTATACTTTAATAGCTTTACTTTATTTTCCTTTTTGATATAAGAGTCTTTTTTACTCTACTTTGATCACTTTAATCTCTTTTATATTTCTCTCACAAATTCCTTTATGTTTATTCTTTATAAATTTTTATATTCAATTTCATTTATTTTATTTTCAATATTTTCTTTTATTTCTTTTATCTTTTTAATTATATCACTTTATTTTATTCTTTATATTTCAATCATATATTTTCCAATTCAACCTTTTTTTACTTTTATTTATTTATATTTTTCTCAATTAAATTCACTTTTTTTTAACAAACTTCTTATTAATTTCTTTAAACTTCTGAGATCTTTTTTATACAAACACGGCCAATTGCCGAACTTAGGTTTGCCTGGCCCAAAAATGCCGGCTACAACTACAGGCTACAACGGCCTGGACTAAACTGCGGGCCCAAACTGCCCGGGCTAACTGCCGACTACAACGGCCTGGCTTAAACTGCCCAGATTTCCCTGTGTCTATCAATTTTATTGAAAGACGATTTAGTGGGAGAATTCATAATTAACGTGGCTGTTGCTAAGCCGATTTCTGCAACCTTGCAGATTTAGGCAGTGGCGTGATCCGAGTTCGG